TTGGACTGAGAGGATGGATGGAGTTTATAGAATTTTGAAATACTTGTTTTCTTCATATTGCTTATTAATTTTCGATCTTTCAAAGTTTTCACTAACATAACAAGTGAATAGCAACAACATACTATTCCTCTTCTTGTTCATGTCCCTATCCATGAAACTTTTTATCTTTTTCATAAACAACTTTTTCCTATCTTTTTCCTAAACGCATTCTTCCTTAAGTTACCTTGCTTGTCTTTTTTACTACTCTCTTCAAAATGCTTTTAAGAAAGGTACTATCAACTTTTCTTTTCTTTTTCTTTTTTTTTTCTTTTCCAAATAGTTCTTTGTGAAACTTTGGTTTTCTTTACAGAGTGGTTTTGTAATGATTTCAATGCGATTACCACATCATTAACCTTTTAAATAATTGGAGACTAGCCTCTTAATCATTTATCCGAGGTTTTACGTCCCTTAAGTTATTTTAATTTTAATTTAAGTCTTCCGTTATGCTTTCATTTAAATTTAAAATTGTAATTACAAACTAATTATGTACATTCACTTAATATTCTAATTGACCTAACGAATTAAAGAAATCTAAGCAATAAGTTGATAATCCACATTATAAACAAGCCTTAATTTATAAACCACATTCAAGATTCGATCTTTGTAACTACCATTCATGATAATTTATTATTAGAATTTTTGAAATAGTGTGTTGAGGAGTATCTTTTAAAAATATCTAGAATAAAATAATTTAAAAGTACACAAAAACTAATTCAAAAACATTCTTACTGTTTGAAAAAATAAAAAGGAAGTCAAGAAACCATCTCACTACCCCGATACACACTATTATTTTTCAAAAAAAAAAAATAATAATAAAATTTGAATCACCTTTGCCCGCATCGAAATTAAAGACATTGAATGCAAATTGGGACTCTGTTGAGAAGGTCTCATGTACTTGAATTAAAGTTGAGGAAGATTTAAAAGCTTAGAAGAAGGGGTATCGTAGGCCTTTTCTAACTGATAACATTGAAAAATGGAGTAAATTATAAATTAGTCCTTCTCGTTTATAGCAACAAATTAATTAGTTTTTTTCTTTTAAAAATTAATTATTTAGTTTTTTTTTTGAATTTGAATTCCAACAATAATTTAGTTTTTTTATTAAATTTTTTGTTAGAATAATAATTTTTATTCTTAAATTACTTTTTTTCTTTTTGGTTGAGGAAATATAAAAAAATAGTTAAAAATAGAAATAAAATATCAAAAGAAAGATAATTTAAAAACTATTAATATATTAATAAATTATTAAAAAAATCAAATATGAGAGATTAAATAATTATTTTATTAAATAAAAAATAATTAATTTTTTTTAAATGAAAAAGACTAATTTATACTTTACTCTTGAAAAATGAGATGACAATCTTAAATTTTTGTACAACAAGAACAATACGTCATGTTTGCACCTGTCCCCTGGATCACAGGTCGTTGATGCACCTGACGACGTCAATAGCCCACAGGACAACACTGATTCCCTCCTTTTGTTTTTAACATCACATCAACATAGCTTGGAGCCTTGGAGTCTTTGAACTTACAATAGTAATACTTATGTAATTAATATAATAGATATATTCATGAGTTTATTGCCAAAAAAAGTTACCCTCACACTATTATATTATATTTTGGTAATTTTAAGTCTTCATATCAATTTACATAATTTAAACTATAAATTATTATTTTTAAACAAATTTCATCATTCTTGTTATTTGTAATTATCAACTCATGAATAATAATAAAAAAAAAATTCAAAGGGTATGAATTAAAAAATTAAGATAAAGAGCTCCAAAATGGTTTTGTATTCTGACAATAATTTAGTTCTTCTATTAAATTTTTATTAGATTAGTAATTTTTATTCTAAAATTACTTTTTTCTTTTTGGTAGAGGAAAGAGAAAAATAGGTGAAAATAGAAGTAAACTATTAAAAGGAAGACAATTTTAAAAAATATTAATATATTAAAAAAATATTGAAAAGAATAAATTGTTGAAAAAAATTAAAATATGAGAGATTAAATAATTATTTTTAAAATAAAAAAATTAATTAATTTGTTTTTTAATTTAAGTTTTATGATTTTGGTGGGAGTTTAGTTGGATTGAGAAAAGGGATGGAGTTTCCGAAGGGACTATAAATAGAAATTTGAAATATTGTTTTTTTTTTTTTTTTTGATTTATTTCCTTTCTTTTAAAGTTTCCATCGACATGATAAGTGACCAACAATAAAATGCTATCCTTTTTTTTTGTTTCTGTCCTCGTTCATCAAACTTTTAGTCTTTTTCCTAAATAACTCTGCTTCTTGAGATATCTTATTGCTTATCTTTTTGACTAGTGTCATTAAAGTGCTTTAAGAAAGGTACTATCAATTTTTCTTTTTTCTTTTTTCTAAAACAACTTTTCTTTGCCATTTTCTTTTTCAAAGAGTTCTTTGTGAGATTTTAGCCTTTTGTACATAATGATTTTGTAATGATTTCTATGTGATGACAACATAATTAGCCTTTTAAGTAATTGGAGCTAGCCTTTTAACCTTCCATGTCAGGTTTTACTTTCCTTTAGTTATTTTTATTTTAATTCAAGACTTCTTTATGCGTTCATTTAAATCTAAAAATCTAATTACAAACTACCGATGCACACTTGTTTAATATTCTAATTAACATAATGAATTAAAGAGATCTAACTATAAATTAGTAATTCATTAATAAACAATCATTGACTTGTGGATTAGATCTAGAATTTGATTTTTATGACTATAACTTATGATAATTTATTTTTTAAAAAATTCGAGATTGTGCTTTGAAAAACATTCTTTTACCATGCTTAGGAAGGAAAAATTTTGAAATAGGCAAAAACTGATCCAAGAACTTCTTTATTGCTGGGAAAAAAAAAGTTAAGAGACCATCTCATTACCCCCAAAACACTGTATTATTTTTCAAAAAAAAAAAAAAAACCAAATAAAAAAAAATTGAAAGGTTTGCTCACATTGAAATTAAAGACATTGAACGCAAATTTGGGACTCTATTGAGAATGTTTGTGCAATCTCATGTACTCAAATTAAAGTTAGGAAGATTTAAAAGCTCAGAAGAAGGGGGTACCCGGCCCTTTTCTAGCTTATGATATCGAAACATGGAGTAAATTATAAATTAGTCCTTCTCATTTATAGCAACAAATCAATTAGTTTCTTTTCTTTTAAAAATTAATTATTTAATTTCTTATATTTGAATTTTGATAATAATTTAGTTTTTTAATTAAATTTTTGTTAAATTAGTAATTTTTATTCTCAATTTTTTTCTTTTTGATTGAGGAAAAAGAAAAAAGGTGAAAATAGAAATAAAATATCAAAAGAAAGAAAATTTTTTAAAAATATTAATCTATTAAAAAATTAATGAAAAGAATAAATTATTGAAAAAAATTAAATATGAGAGATTAAATAATTATTTTTTTAAAAAAATTAATTAAATGTTTTTCTAAAATAAAAAAGACTAATTTATAATTTACTCTTGAAAAATGAGATGACAATCTTAAATTTTTGTACAACAAGAACAATACGTCATGTTTGCACCTCTACCCCGGATCACATGTCGTTGATGCACTTGACGACGTCACTAGCCCAACAGAACAACACTGATTCCCTCTTGTTTTTAACATCACATCAACATATAGCTTGGAGCCTTGGAGTCTTGAACTTCCAATAGTAACACTTTTGTAATTAATAAAATAGATATATTCATGAGTTTAATGGCAAAAAATTACTGACACTATTATATTCTGATAATTTTAATTCTTCATATCAATTTACATAATTATTACTTTTAAGCAAATTTTATTATTCTCATTCTTTATAATTGTCAACTCTTTTATTATTAAATAGAATACTTAAACGATACTGTTCAAGTATTTCATCAATTGTTTTTTTAAAAAAACTATTTATAAAATAAAATAAATTGAATTAAAAAGTTAGTTAATTCTTTTAATTTTGAAATTCAATCAGAATTTCTTTTGTAAATATTTTTTTTTTGAAAAAAATAATAGAATATTTAAAAGACGTAATTTAAACATTGCACTTAACAATAAAAAAATTAACCGCTACAAATAACAAAAAAATAAAATTTATCCAAAAAATAATAATTTAAAATTCAAATTATGTAAATCAGTAATAAAAGCCTATAATTGCCAAAATGCAATAGTTTGAGAACAAATTTTTCCATTAAACATATATTCATGTGATACAAAAAAAAAAAAAAAAAAAAAAAAAAAAAAAATTCAGAGGGCATGAACTAAAAAATTAAGATAAAAAGCTCCAAAGTGGAGCTTGGAGCTATAGGCATTAGCAATGTGAAGCCTATGTCAGCCCATCGCATCCAAATTTGCTTTACCAAGCAAGTGCCCACCACACCATGAATCTCAGATAGGTAGAAATCATGTAATTTATTCTCACCGAAATTAAACATCTGTCTCAAATTAAACACAAATGTGCTCAGATTAACAAGCTAAGTTGAGTTGGTATGATTTTAACAAATCCAGAATGAAAACTGCTAGTCCATTCTGAATTATGATTGCAATTGCCTATCATAAATAAAAGAATATTAATTCCATGAAGCAAAGTTTGGATTCTCCAACATGGTGGCTCTCATTCTGAATTATGTCTGCATTCTCCACTAGGCACGCTGTACTGATAAGGGAGACACGGGGATAATGATTTATCTATATTTGTGCACATTTGAACTTGTGCCTTCATCTACACTAATTTGCTATTCTAACCTATACCCTTTTCTCCAGGATCAATAATTTCCTAAAATGCCCAAGCAGATGGCGAGGACAGTGAGCTTTGCTTCCTTTTCCATTCCTAAATGAATCACGGGATATTTGCCAGCCATTCTTTTTCTTGTAAATTATATGGAGACACCCTTTGCAGAAATGAAAAACCAGGAATCAGACAACTCCATGGCATCGACCTTTGATCTGGAACAACTAACCAATTATGGTAAAGTGTGGTTAGCGAGACCCATAGATTCAGCAACTTCTCTAGCAGAAAAACTGTCTGCTTGTTCCTGCATATTGAGAAATAAAATTTTACTGAATAGAAACTGATCATAGCATATCCAAAGCTCCCATAGTTTATAGGTAGAAATAAGAATCTTCTATCAAAAAAAGAAAAAAAAAGAAAAATCACCTACTTCCTATACAAAGCAGAATGTCTCAATAAACATAAAACAACTGTTCACATGACCAAATATCCATACCTGAAGGTGATGCAACAAATACATCAAGAAAAGATGCACAAATACCTGAAAATGATTTTCATGGCCAACAAAAAACTTAGATGCTTCCACATAACTCGAATCTTTAATTAGACATTTTGAACACAATAAACTCTTCTCACCAGATAGAAAAGCAAACTAAGTCTAGCAGTTGGATACCGCCATAAAAATCTTGTGGCTCTGGCAGCTCCTGAATCCAATAGTTTTGCTGCCTTTTGCAACTGCATGATGTGGTTGAAGCATGCAATCAAACCAACATCGGTACTGAAAGTAGGTTATTAAACTGCAAGTAAAAACGTATACCTGTATGCTTGCCCCAACCATGTGACGGTGATACAAGGGAAGGGGCCTGCAATTGTTACTTTGTATGAGAAAAATCTTGTGCCTACTAAAATAGCCATTGACTTCAATTTGAATGAAGATGCAACATTAAAGCAAAAGACAATAGCACATATATCTATCGTAATCAAAAGAATACAGGGGACAAATGGGTGGTAATATCCATCTTAATTTGTGTTCCATGCTCAACTGATCAATTGCTTATCAGCATTCCAATTCAGAACTCAAGAAATGAACTTTATAAAGCATCAGAGAGAGCACTGATAGAGGAATTTAGCAACTGAAGACTGAGGCAGGAATAGAAAATGAGGGAAAATCAGCCAATACAACTGAGCATTGACATTAGAGGAATTTACTCAACTCATCCCAAGCCATTGTAGAGTTGAACTGCATGAATCAACAAGCCTAACAGCACCTCTAAATTGTTTCTAAACCAACTCTTCTATCATTAGTCCAACTTCCTATCTTACAGAAAATGGGGAATATGAAAAGAATGGGAGGAAAAAAAGAAAAAAAGAAATCAACTTTGCTTTTAAACACTGCAGGGCTAAACTGTTAATGAAACACTGATATTCTCAAAAACTGGGCCAAAAGCAACTTTGCTTTTAAACACAGCAGAGCCAAACAGACCCTTAAATGCAAGATCTTCAACCAAGGAGTTCATTTTGGTTGGCTAGTGAATTCAATGGTTAGGTAGTATTGAAATTAATAAAAAGGTGAGATCAACAGGATCTGAAACAAGGGGGCAATTGAAAGTTAGTACGGGCTACTTTGTACATCCATTCATTTTATCTGATAAAACCCTTTAGCTTGCTCATATTTGAAGCGACCATACTGCACTCCACAAAATAAAGCTCTGGCATCGTTGAGTAAACATTTATGTAACATCCACCAAACAACCAAATATTGTTATTTAACATGTACATAGTTTTTTTTTTTCCTGAGAATTTAGTTTCCATATTAAATCAACCAATAATGCGCCATCAACTATCCATGTAGACTTTTAAAAGCATTCTTCTCAAAATCTAATAACTGCAGTAATTCCATCGTTACAGCATCAAAAAGCTTCATTGCAGTACTTAGATGATCATTTCCCAAATGTAACTGAGCTCCTATGTTCGTAAATGGAGCTTGTTCTACCAAAGAAAAGTTCAATTGAAGTCAATGCTCACAAAAACTGAGTAACATTATATATAAATGTGCTCAATAAAATGCCAAAAGGATTAGGAAAAGCATGCAAAATTATCTATTTAATCAAAAACCAAATAGCATACTCTATTTCCTTCATTTCAGTGTCTTCTTCCCAAGATGAAGATGTTCGACGGGAAGCTCTACTTCTCTCTGCCTCAACCTGTTCAATGTGCAAAACAAAGATACTTGGAGCTGTAGGCTATAAGAAAAGTGAACTAAAAGTAGATAATTGCTATTAATCACCCAGCAGTAAGCACATAATGACACACCCGTGCTTCTTGAAGACGTTTTACTTCCTTCTCCAACTGAAACTCTGCAGCTGCTTTTTCACTAGCCATGGCTTCTAACTGAGTTTGCTTGTAGTACTGAATCATAAATAGATACAGACACAGGAAGCCACAAAATAGATATTAAATAGTAGTAAAATTGAGTAAAAGGATATATTATATGGCATCTGCATTACCAATAGGTCAGTTAGTTCGCGGTAGCGCTTCTCTAGCTCCATATGTTCCTGTGACAGGCAGGTATATAAGGTGATGCTTGAGTAAATGCCACATTGAAAATTTATCATACCCTGCATTTCTTTAAAAAAATGTACACAAAATCAACTTGGTTTTCCTAGACTGATGATGCAAACCAATACCAGGCCACATGATACTCATGCCATAATAAGCTAATCATCTGTCACAATAGGCTGAAGTGAAAAAGTATATCTTCTTCAGACAAAGTAACATTTCCACTTCATAGAACTCCTTCAGATCATTTTGCATATGATACCTGACGTGAATAGTGCTCAGCATCCCTCTTCATGGCAGCCATTTCAACTCTCATTTTCTGCACTTCAGTCTGCAGTCAAACAAATAGTTAACTCATAGCAAACACTCTTAAATTATCCTGCAAGTTTTCAACATAGTATTTTGTATAATAATAAGACAAACTCATTCATCAAAATCTCTAGAGAACAGCAATTCAGCATATAATCTTGACAGCAATTTGATATCAAATCAGAGACGACAGCAGCAGCAGCAAAAAAAAAAAAAAAAAAAGAAGTCCCTTGCCTCAAAATAAGAAAGCTTGCTCTCAGCATCTCGCTGACCTTTGCGTGCACGCTCCACTTCTTCCTGCCACGCCTGTATCTTAACGGTTGAAAATTCAGTCATCAAATGAACCTTGTGACAGGAAGACAAAGTGGTACACTAACTACCACTGCTGTGCTACAATTGTTCTCTTCAAGTACACAGAAGTATAAGAAATGCTTTATTTGTAGAACATACAACACTTATAGGTAATAGTTGCCAACCATAGAAGTGTATAGTGCATAAAAATTATGCAAGTCAAGGATCAGTAGCTATTGGTAGATTCTGGTTAAGTTTAACTAACAATAATTAATTAATTATACCATTTTTTTATATGACACATCGTATAACATCTTTCCTCTCGCGTTCCGCTATCCTGGAGTAAATAATAGAATTATATGTAATGCTGAAAGAAGAACCCTCATAAACTATGATGTTAAAGTAGGATTAAAAAAAAAAAAAAACCATGATGTTATTAGCTAGCATTTCATGCAGAGTAGCACTGCAAACAGCATAAAAAAAGCAAATGAAAAAGAAAAGGATAGAATTTGGCATCAGTGGGTGCTCATGACTGGAAAAGAAAATTATATAAAAGTTCATGGAAGTTTCATCGTTTAATGGGAAAATGGCCTAGTTTATCCTTATATAATAGGACAAGTGTCCAATCTATCCTTGTATCCTAAAATAAGCCAGTTACATCTAAGGGTGTTCGTTCAATTATTCGGTTCGGTTTCAAAATATTTTGAACGGTTTTCAGTTAACCAAACTCTCAAAAAAAAAAAAAAACTGAAACCGAACCGAAATATTATTTGGTTTTTTGGTTCAGTTTCAATGTTTGATAATTCGGTTTTTATCCATTTTATTTTATTTTATTTTTTCCTCCAAATGGTTAATTCTATTAAAGTTTCTGAAATCTCTATTTAGAGTAGGTTTCTTTCTACTTTGTGGACTACTAGCTAAAAAACTAAGTTGTGCCCATAAAAAAAAAAAAAACAAATGCATTGATAGATAAACAAATAATAAATTGTCTACTTAAGAAGATTTGAATTGGAGACAATAGAAAATCTAACAATGTCTTTGCTATTTTGTGTACATACAGACTTGTAGCAGAGACAAAAAGCACGTACGAAGCTGTGGAAGGAAGTACATCTAGGGGAGAAGGGTTTTTCAATTTGGGGTGCCATGAGTGATCTAACTTTATATATATATATATATATATATATGATATATATATATATAAAAAAAGAAAAATGAAATTATTTTGATTCGTTTTTTTTTTAAATTTCTAAAAAAAAAAAAAAAACCCGTACTGAAATTGATATTTTGGTAAGGTGCAGTTCAGTTATTCAGTTTTCATCAAATATTGAACACCCCTAATTATATCCTTGTATATTAAGTGAGTTTTCAATCTATTTGATGACTTTTTCTAGAAAATATCAGAAAATGTTACGTGATTTGGACATGACTAAAAAGAAAATCCTATAAAAGTTCCTGGTAGTTTCATAGTTTAATGCGAAAATGGTCTAGTTTGTCCTTGTATAATGGGATAAGTGTCCAATCTGTCCTTATATCCTAAAATGAACCAATTATGTCCTTGTATATTCCGTAAGTTTCCAATCTATCCAATGACTTTTTTTGGAAAAATATAAGAAAATATCACATGATTTGCACATGACTAATTTTATTTTAAAAATGTCTCTCACATCACCAATTAATCACCACCGTATCTCCCACCTTGGTCGGAATCCGGCCAAGGACAAGAATGACACCTAATTTATTTTCTTATTTTTTCTTCTCCTTTCCCTTCATCCCTTCTTCCTCTCCTTCCCTTCCTATCTTAAAATTTAGCCAAAATCACCCCAAAACAATCAATGCCGTCACTTTCCTAGCCATCCCCAAAACCTCCAATTTTTTTTTTTTTTTTTTTTTTTTTTTTTTTTTTTTTCGGCCAAAAGGCCCATATTTCACCTAAAATCAACCTCTATCTTGCCAATCTACAACTTTAGACCTTAAAACCGACCTTTTCTACCTTCCCCTCACCTTTTTCCAGCCAAAATCAAGCCCTACCCACCGACCATCATCAAATCCCCCACTCTCCACTTTTCTTCCATTTTTCGGTCATCCACCACCTCAAACACCCTTTAATCATCAAAATCCGAGCCTAACACCACAAACCCAAAACCTTTCACCCAAAATCACACTAAAACCCCAAATACTCACTGCCCATGTGATTTACACATACTCACTCATTTAAGCAGGCATTTTGGACATAAAATTAGTCATATGCAAATGACGTGATATATTCTTATGGTTTTGCTAGAAAAAATCACCAAAAGAATAGATTAGAAACTCACTTAAAATATAGGGACATAATTGGCTCATTTTAGGATATAAAGACAGATTGGACATTGTGCCCATTAGATATGGATAGGCTGGGCCATTTCCCCTAGTTTAATCCAATAATACCAATGAACAAATATAAGAATAACAAACACTACATTTTTACTTGCATACTATGAGCACATTATTGTCAATGATTGTATAAATATTTGACATATTAATCTTTTAAGCGTTTCATTTTCTTTTTACAAAAATATTTTACATATCTAAAACAAAATTTCATTACAAGTAAGCCGACCGCATAGTGCATAAAGCATACCTAAAAGAAATGAGTTCAAAAATGAGTTGTACAGCCTTGCAATGGTACCTGAATCAATTGATTTGCCTCTTCTGGGGACTTCTTTTGTCCACGGCGAGCAAGACCTTCCATATCTTGCAGCTCTTGATTTAGAGATGCACATTCAACCTGAAGTGCTAAGTATTAATGACTTCCAACTGCTCTTTGAGCATTAAAAAAAAAAAAAAAATCACCAAAAAGAAAGTCAAGAATGTTTCTTAGTACCTCTAGCAGTGCCACCTTCTGCTCAAGTTCTACTGCTTTTGCTGTCCTCTCATCTGCAATTCTCTGGAAGGGAAGAAATAATGGCATTCAATCAAAACAATTGATATTAACCTGAAAAAATAGTTGCACTCCAGTTTCATCATAACAACAATGAGAACTGTAAGATATTGAATTCCTAGCCAGGATATACCCATACTTACGGCGTTCATTGCTTTTTTTTTTTTTTTTTACCTAGTAACAGAACCTATTGTTAAACTATTACAGACATCTCAAACCATGCATGGAAAATGAAGAGGCTCAAATTCATGATCACCGGACTATAGTCAACTGTAATATACCACCAGCATGTCTTGAATTTGATGATTTCTTTATCATGTAATAATATTAAACAAGAAAAATGAATTACTTTTGTGGTAAACAGCATACAGGGCATGCCCTTACGTTACCTGCATCCTAGCAAGGACAGTGGATGCCTCAATTGCTCTATGTTCCAATTCCACTTCCCTCTCCATAGCTGCCTATTTTACCAAAGGGAGGTTATCAAAAGTGAAAGCAACAAGGGGAATACATGACTGTTTAAATGGTAGAATTGGTCTTGGTACAAACCATTTTGGTAGAATTATGTGCTGTACGTTCTTCTTCCGCTCTCCGTTCTGCAGAGGCCAGCTCCTCTCGTAGAGCCTAATATGGAAGTATATCAATGCTCTGGAATCTCATAATAAACTAGGATTTGCAAGGATATAATAAGAACAAGAAATAAGAAATGATAAATAAGGAAGAGCTAACCAGTATACCTGCATCATCCTTGTCTCTGTCAATTCCCTGTTTCTCATAATAGACTCCATGTTTGCCTGTAACAAGGCATTTCATATTGTTACTCATGTAAATGACAAAATGTATGCGAAACAATAGTTCATGCACAATGCTATGATATTAGTAGCAAGTTGCGCAATGTAGTGGAAAGGCTTATTGTTGTCTGAGAAATAGGTCTTGTTTGGTTATTAGGAAACAAAAATCTCAAAGAATTTTTTTTTTTTTTTGGAAGGGGGTTTGGTAATTTGAATTTTGGAATTAGAAATGGAATGAGAAATCATGAATGAGGGATCTTTTTGTTACATTTTCATTATTGAAGGGGAAGGGTGAAGTATATAGGCCAAGAATTTGATTGCGATAGGGTTTACAGGTTGAATTGGATAGGGTCCTTTTACTTTGACATAAATGATCCCATACCAATGCCAAAACCAGTAGGTTGGGACTAGGTCAAGTCCGTATGAAGTTGAAAGAATTGGACAAAGTATCCACTTTCAGCATATTGAGTTGGTTGGGTGGGTCCAGCACTTTGAAAAAAGAGAACAAGCCAAAAATTCCAAAGAGAGAAGAATTACAAAAACAGAGCTGCTCTGGTTAAGCAAGGGTCGACCCAATTATCTGAGAATGTTTTAATTCTATATGCACTAACTGCCTAATGCTACCCCCTCCTAAACACATGAGCAGTTTGAGTCAATTAAGCAGGTTAGGCGCATTGGCCAAGTTGATGAACACCCCCATGAGGTATTAATCTTATAAATATTACCGCTACCACATAATATAGAAACAAGTGATAAAGAAACAAATACACGAGAAATAATCTTTGAAAATTTAATTTGTTTGATCAATCAATAATTATACAGATATTGAATATCTAGCAAACATGTTTCATATAGCCACTACCAAATGTCCCAAAAAAAAAAAAAAAAAAAAAGAACTACTAGGAATAATGAAACTTAACCAATCCTCAATAGCACATAAATAATTAACTCAATTTCCTTCACATTCCCAATATTGCAAGTCATTCAATGCCATCCAAAAAAACCTCAAAGACTCCAAATTCTCTTTACTAAGAGTAAATCCCAGAACTCCCATATTTCAAATCACAACTCAATTCAAAGCAATTCTAGGGAAGAAGTTCAAATCTGTCCTGCATCAACCTAGCAAAGTAATTAAAGCTCCAAAACAAGAACATGGTAAAAAGTTATTTGGTTACTACCAACACAAACACAATATCATAGAACTTCCATATAACTCAACATTGTCCTTGGACGGGATACTTTTAATCAAGCCTCCCAACGACAACAAATTTTAGATAAATTGTCAGGTTAGAATACAAGATCAAAAACAGATGTGTTCCATGTTCCTATCCCAATTATTGTCCTTTCCCTTACCATGCACAATCCAATGGTTCCTTCAGACCTTAAAATCACTCCTATTTTGTCCTAACTCTAAGATTCAAATGAAAGCCATCACATGCTTGGTGCATGCGATAGCTTTGATAATTGCAAGGGAACTACAGTAAGATATGAAACGTTCTTTCTTGGATGAGTATATTTTAAGAAAGAGCATGACATTCAAATAATGGAGAAAGATGAAAGAATCAAGTAGATATTTGAGATTTGAAAACATCTATATGATCAAAGCGCTAAAAATTTAAATTTTAGAATGAAGAGGGATGATACTTTTGGTGGAGAAGGTCACATAAACAGATAGGGCAATCAACTGAAAAGGAAAGTGTAAGCGACCTGCATTGAAGCCAGATTTCCTTCAGATAAAGCAGCCTGTTTCTTGATTGTCTCCATAGAATTGACAAGTGCCTCAACTTCAGAGTTCTTCGCAGCCAAAGCCTCAGCCATATCTGACTCTACCCTAGTCACTTCACTTTTAGACATAGACAAATCTTTCTGTAGCTGCTTTATGTGAGCCTCGTATGACTTAGTCAGCTCTCTCTGTCAAGCCAGCATCTTAAATGTAAACAAATTTCTTTTGACAGCATATCGTGTCATGTAAGTGTACATTTGAAACTTCAATAAATAAAATTGGAACGTCATTTCACCTCAGCAATGAGAAGTTCCTCCAGCTGTGCATTTTCTGATTTATATTCTTGAAGGCGGCTTTGAAGTCCAGCACAAGCCTGATTTTTTTATAAAGAAAGGTTACAAAGTAGCCATAAAGGAAATGATTGATAGGAAAGTACAAAAGAGAGAGAATGACAGTTTTCCAGCTTGTATACAGGTACACTAATCCAGCTCTTTCTATCAAAAAAATTGTTCTGGAGAAGATACCACAAACCATCTGATTGCAGGAAAGTACATGATCTACTAGAATAACTTGCTACGGTTTTACGGATGGAGACTTTTCCATGCAAAAATGCAGGTTGCAACCAGTTCTAGATAATAGATTTGACCCAATGAATCCTAAGCAAAGTCTACTTTGGCAATGAATAGCAAGGGAAACCCCATCTGAAGCTTACCCGGGCTAACCTTGCTTCTTTTGACGGACCGGAAGAAACTGTAGTCTTCAGCAGCCCTTGAGCCTGTAGACCAACTAAAGGAACTAATCAATAAAACTTCAGATGGCAGGCACAGGAGAAAATCCAAAACTCCAGGATGCTTGTATTACACCAATTTCTTCCCTATGGTGAACAATTTACCTCGTCGAGTTGGTCCTGTACTGTCAAAGGAGAAGCTTTGTTCTCTGGTTGCTTCTTTAGATTGACAAGAGGTTCGACTTTAAGGTCGGCACCTTTCAATGAAGTTTCCTTATTTACAGGAGAACAAGTAACTGTTGATGGAGATTTCTCTTCGTCAATCTTTACAGGAACATCAGCCTCCCTTGACTTGATATTTTGACTATCATCAATTGGATGATCTTCACTGACAACCTCTATCTCTTTCGCAGGTAATGGAGGAGGATGCTCTACAGGAACATCCAAATCCTTTTCATTGAGAAGCTCACCATTTGAAGGCAATGTTGCAGAGTCCACACTGGATACAGATACATCCTTTTCAGCATCGTGTAGATTCTCAGTGCTTGCTTGGGCAATGGGCTTTGTAGAAAGAGTCTCCTCATTTTCAACCGGAAGAGCAGCCCTATCATTATCAGATGCAATGTCTAGTTGTGGTTTTTGTGTACTAGTTAGCTCCTGTGAATCACTACTTGGTTGGGGAGATTCTTTGTTAGAGAGCCTATTTGTACCCTGCAAACAGCTGACATGAATGTTAAATCATTCCAAATGAACCATCTAAGTACTATCCTGAGTCTAGAGGTATGCTGGTAAATACCTTCATCTTTGACTTTGTCTTCTTCGGTTTGGATCCTTGCCCATTAGAAGCTTAAAATTTTCAAGGAAAAAAAAAAAAACAGATAAAAACTTGAGTTACTGATATCATAAAAAAAAAAAAAAAGGTTAATCATACTAGGTTTTTTTACAACAGTGATATCTTTTCCAAAGATACAATACTATTTTAATGCCTAGCATATCAGTATCTTAAGTTGAATTTCTAACCCCATGGTCTGCTCTCTACGTTAGAATCCATGCCAGTGAGAACAACTTTAAAAGCTTTACTAGAATTGATTTAAAGTAATTTTATAATATTTAGATGCATTCTTTTTCTCATTGGAAAGAAACATTCTACTCAAATATTGAATTCTCATGGCAGGTTTTTTTTTTTTTTTGGTGATAAAGGAAGAAATTTTATTGAGAAAGAACAACAAGGAGTATAAAGAGTGGAGGATAAGACATTCTGCAAATTAAGCCAAAACCAAGTGAAAAATTGTCCAACCGCATGGAATATCAGCTTAGGAAAGTCCTCAGAGTGGTCAAGATACCAAACAACATAAGGAAGCCAGGAAAATCACTATATCGAAAAGTAACTTATTAAATAATAACTATATAATATTTCAATCTTTAACACTCTGTCCCTCCCTCCCTATACGCTATACCCTTAAACCAGGTTACTAATAATATCTGCAAGAATTCGTGAGAAAGCTCATTGCTCACCAGAAAACAAGATTTGATTAATTCCATAAAAAGAAGCATGCAGAAATAAATGAATTTTGTTTATTTAAAGAAAACACATCATAATCTATACCTGGTGGTTGAAGATCAGAAGTCTCATCTGACAATTCAGTAGCAACCAGTTTTGCTTTTCGATCCATATTTTCAAACAAATCTAACCAGAACAGCAATGAAATTCAAACTTCTCTCAAATCAAAGTATAAAACAAATGTAACATAGGAAGCAAGGTATTTTAATACAAGTGCTAAATTCTAGTAATGGCATAAAGTCATGTAGCATGTTGGGTAAAAGTTACATGTTAATGAGATCAATGGATTTCAAACTTTTATTTTTTCTTTTTTAACGAATTAAAGAATGCCAAAAACCCCAAATTACTTGGAATTTCTTAAAATGACGTCATAAAAAATCTCTATAGTTTACGCGATGATTGAAATTAACTCAAATCATGAAATTTCTAGGGTTCTTGCTCTACAAAGTACAAACTCGACAGCAAACAAAAGCACCAAATTATGTTCTTGAATACCTACAATTCTGTTCGTCGTCATTCTTTCAACAATCAACAACAAATAGCAAGTAGTTTCAATGCATCAGTGATCCACATCAGAACAGAAATACAACAAAGAATGCTGATCGAAATCAAATTGAAGGAGGAGAAATTAAAAAGAAGAAGGAAAAAAAGAAAAGAAAAGAGGATGAGAGATCCATACCTTCTGCGACTTTGAGCCACGACGCCATTATACAGAATCACCAATAAATGAAATCAAAGCCCTAAGATTTCTGATTCTATACACAAATTTGGGAACGTTTTATTTGAAGAACTGCTAAATCGAGAGTTCAGTCAGTGTTCAATTTTTTGAACAGAAACTGTTAAGAGAAGAGAAATGAAAATGTGTTTGTAAAGTAAGTTAGTTAGAGCGTGTCCCGTCGTCTGGGTGTCACATCATCTCGCCTATCCGCTGTAGTAGAATAGAAGAGAACGAGTTATGTTCTGGTGTTATTGGGTCCATGGTAATATTAATGGTTCGCCAATCAGATGGCTGGCTGGCTATTTTTTTTTTTTTTTTGCGTTGATGTGATGTTCGTCAACCGGTGAAGTAGGCTCGGCCCAACCAACTGGAGTGGTGTTTTGGGTTGGAGACCCAAGTCCCAAATGGCCCATGTAATAGTTCTTATTCTGAAGATTGATTCGGAGGAGATTTTTCACTCAAAAGGAAAGGGGAAATTAAGAAAACGATACTGACTCATTGATTCTGCATTTCACTTTCTGTGCTGCTGTTCCCTTTTCTTTTCATTGAAACCCAGCGAACTTTGTCCTAGTAACTAGGTTTTTTATTTTTTATTTTTTATTTATTTATTTTTTTTAATAATAAGTGGAGTATCGTTCATTGTTTAATCTTAAAAGAATCTAATTATGTTTGTATTATTTAATTGGGTTTTCAATCTAATGTTTTGATCAATTCTTCAGACTAAATCACCTAAACATGTTATATAACTTGTACATGATTTTTGTTTTTTAAATGAAAATGCCCCTCTCAACTTAATATGTGCGAATCACTTTTGCTTTTATTTTTTATTTTTTAGAAAAAATCAATCACTTATGCACGTGAAATCAATCACATGCATGGATGTAAAAGGCTGAATTAGCCTTTTTTTTTAAAAAAAAATGCATCATTATACATCATCTTCATCTTCACAGCATAATAATTTCTCTTTTCCTTCTTTCAATTTGTAAAATTTGAAACCCTAATTTCGAAACCACAACAGTTCTCCATCAAATTTATGTAGCTTTTTTTTTAATTAATCATCTTTATCTTTGTAGCCTTATATTTCCTCTCTCTCTCTCTCTTTCTCGCATTTCTTTTTTTTTAAATTTAAAACCCTAATTTTGATTGATCGATCTCTTTTCTCTTTTTTTAAAAAATCAATATTGAAGAAAATATGCACTCAAACTTCTCAATCAAAAGTTATCAAACTTCAAATCAAAGAAACCATAACATGCAAACTTGTTATTGCGATCGTGGGCAGCAAATCTCTTTGAAGACAAGCATAAATAAAGGATGACTATGGCAAAAGGTTCTTCGATAGTCCAAATTATAGGACTCCAAAGGCTTATCATGGGTATTTTTAATTTTTTGATCTAGAATGGTGTGTTTATGAACAACATGCACTATCCAAACTATTTAGAACTATAAATATGCGAGAGATAGGTTTTAAATATAAAATGTATGAAAAGGCTCTAATTTGTTTGGTATTAGTTGGTTGATTGGTGTATAGGTGTTGTGGAAGAAGTAAATTGTGAAGATGTGAATGGTATATATGCTATGGTGTTGGATTTGGTTGACTACTAGAGCATGGACTTTGTAGTTTGTGGTTGTATATGCTCGATAATTTAAGTTCTGTAGCAAGTATTCTTGGTTTTCTCGGTAGATGATTGTAGATTCTTGGTATTCAATAGCTCTTTGTTTAGTCCTTGAAGGTTTTGGAATTATAGGTTTAGTACTAGATTTTAATTTGAATGTGGTCAATGGGTAATGTAATGAAAAATTTTCAATTTCAAGCATAATGGTAAAGTTGTTGAATTCTTTTTCTTTTACTATTGTCTTTGACTTACTATAAGATTATATAGCTAGCTCTATCCGATTTGATATTAGAGATGTCTGCTCCGTATTTGCTTTCACAACAAAGGAATTAGAAGCAATCAAGCATATGAGATAACTATAAGAAATTGTAGATATTTGTGGTACTAATGCTTGAATCTTGCATGATTGGTGGGAAATATAATAATTGTCGCATGTAGCTACCCGACATTTAGGAGACTTTCAAAAAATTCTTTTTAAAATCATTTATTTATTGGGATGTGAGTTAAAACACGTTTTGAAGTCATCATTTAGTATTAAACGAAACTAGAAAACCTAAAAATGGCACTAGTTTGAAGATTTTAGGATAAAGAGTTTGTTATGCCTATGAAAAGATATCAATTGCCTAAAGACACCCTTTTCGAGGAATTATTAAGCATCCGGCTTAATCCTAAAAGTTTATACCTTAACAATTTCTATTTTTTGCAAATTATTTCTCAAGTCAAAATTTCAAGTTTTATTTTCTAAGCCAATTGATTATTTTTATTTTTATTTGCGATATCATATTAAATCGATCGTCGGATCTCGATGCCATAAGTCTCGTTAATTCAACATCGAAATTAGTTTAAGTCTCGACATAACCGATATGTCGGAGAACGACCTAATCACTAGGGTGATGGATTTAAATTAATTAATAACATCGAGTTCTTATTGGATAGGAAACTTGTTAATCTAGCACTTATTCTTTTTTGGTTCTTTTCCTTTTTTTTTCTTTTTATGTCTTTTTTTTTAATCAATTTTTATCATTTTTCTTTTCATTTTCATTTTTTAATGTTTTCCAAGGTTGGTGGAGAATCATCATTAGTCCTTAAAAACTAGGAGACCCGACAATTCATTCACTTATTAATTACCTAATTTAACTATAAATTATTTAAGCAATATTCAACATTAAAATAAATCTGAAATTTAATTATCAAAACCTAAAAGATAAAAACTCAACACATACATATGAGTTTAAAATCTCAACACATACATATGAGTTTAAAATCTCAACACATACATATGAGTTTAAAATCTACCTCCATAATTTTATATTTAATTATCATTAAATACTAGGCTAAAAAAAAATTTAAACATTAAAAGAAATTAATGAATAGGCATCAAATTAAATAAATTAAAATGAATAGGCAAAAGAGCATCTAAAATTCTAAAAAAAAATTAAATCTAAACTAGAAACAAAAAAATGAAGTATGCATAAAAATTTTAGGTTTAATTGACTAAGGGGTAGTTGAAATAAATCTTAGAGAAAAATGAAGGTTATTAGGGCTTAGGACCTAGTGGGTTTTCAAACCATTAGACCAAGCCCAAACCCACACCATTCAGCCTAAACCAACCAAATCTAATAAGCCCAACAACCTAGCCCGACTAAGCCCATCCTTTCTTCTTCTTCTTCTCCTTAGCTCAAATGTCTTTCCTTTCCTTTTATTTTCTTTCTCTTCTCTAGTTACACCTCTTAGTCATTTTCTTCTTCTCCTCTCTCACCTAGAAAGCTCTTTAATATAAACTATCATTTCAATCATCCTAAACCAAATTCTTACCTCTCCTCATTCTATTAACAACACCTTAAGCATTTTGAAGCTCGACATAACACTAACAATGTCACTCGTCATTTTCCTTTTTGTTTTGTTATTTTGGCATTTAAGAATCAAAATTGGAATAAGCTAAAATAAATGAAATATAAGATGAATAGTGGAATACTTGATAATCTTGAATGAGGATAAGGAATGAAAGAGAACTTTGAATGGTTGGGATTGTGGTGTTCCTTTTGTTTATAAGTACTTAGAAATAATGGCGTCCGCAAGACTTGGTGGTTTGTTTAGGACCCCAAAGAGGACTTACAATCATTCCCAAGACCTAGACCAAGTGATGGTGGATTAAAACAGAAAGTTCTATAAACCCGAAAGGATGCTAACTAAAGGAAAAAAACTAGGATTTTCTTCCTCCTAAAACCAAAAAAAACTAAACCAAAAATCGCTCTCCCTCTCAATTCCTTTAATGAGGTCTTATTTATACCCAAAAACTATCTATCATTTATCGGAGGATCAATTCCAACTAATCTTAACCCTACCCACTAGAAATTAAAACCCTTAGGCTTCGTAATTTTTGATTGTTTATGAGTAGAGCTAAAAAATCAAAATGCGGTTTGTGTGTGTAGGTCTATTGTAAGTAAGGTGCAAAAGGTGTGTTGAGGTGGGTGTAGAGATTAGTACAATACGATTGTTGGCTAGTACAATTACTCGCCAAGGAATCATTTGTTGTTTTGGATAGATTGTCTTCATTGAAGACGATGAGTACCAAGGAGGAGGATTGATTTTAGGTTATAGCGAAGGATAGGTTGTTCGGTCCATTTTGGTGTTGTCATTTGCTTCCTAATTTTAACTTTATCTTTGAGTGTTTCAATTGTTCATAATTACGCTCTTGATTTTAATTTCTATTGCATCCTTATTGGCTTTTAATTTTAATTTTAATTTCATTTAATTGCACCTCTATTTCATTCAATTTCG